GGACGCTAATAAAACATTTTTTATTTTTTATTTGACCTTAGAGCGAACTTTTCTTTTGTATTCGCTCCTTAGAACTCTACTTTATCAAACAGCGAGGTGAAATGTAAAGAGCGTCATCTTGAGTAGATCGTTTGTTTGATGTTATCCTTTTTATCCCTAATAAGCAAACCTTCAATTTATAAGAACCAAGTCATGGGAGGAGAAAAAAAACAAGATTTGACTGACAAAATATAAATACTTCCAAGCTCAGGCTGTGGCGATGTGCAACGCGTAGCGTGAATATGAATGACGGGAGAGAAAGATAATTCCTTTGTCCATTATTACGACGCTAGAATCATATCGCGATGTGGGAATTATACAAATATGTTGATAACCATTCAAATTACAAACATACACAAGCGACCCAAACAGTAATCAATTTGCCGACTATTACCGCATACATGTAGTCATTCACATCATTCGTCTTTTATTTTTTGTTGTTGGGGACAATTAAGCTCGCAATTAAACAACCATTAATCGTACATAGTCATCTTTATTTCACATTTCATACAGTCGTCACAAAAATTAAAAGGAGGCGTATTAAACCCAACAAAAATAAATCATAATTTATTCTGTTAAAGATGAACGAGTGGGTTGATTACCCCCCAAAACAAAGACGATCCCACCAGAGAAGTTCATGCTGTGCTGTAGCAATGTACATCGCAAAGCTTCGCCACAATGATTGGAAAGATAATCCACGCCCGTTACGACGCAAAACGGCGCAAGAAGAATAGATCGCGACGCGAGAAGAATACATCCTTTTTTTTTTTACAAACAATGGAATGTTTATCAGAACGAAAACCGGAGGAGGGGAAGACAGGCTTTGGCTGACAAATACTTTCTGTATATCAAGTTTAAGCTGTACCGCGCATCACGAGCGAGAACAATGACGGAAGAGATAATCTTCCATCGCCTGGTGGGGCGCAAAAGGGCGCAAGAAGAATAGAGTGGGTTTATACCAACAATAGACAGTTTCTTTTCATATGCAAGAATCAGGTGAGGGTGACTATTGCGCCCCTTCGCGCCCCTTTGCGCCTCAATGCGTCTCTTGGGAAGCGACTGTTCTGATCATCGCGCCCCGACGCGTCCGGGCACAGTCGCAACTTTGGAAGGCTCCCCTAAATGTGAGGAACCTATTGAAAAGCGATGCTTGTAGATTATAGGTTCCTGATAAAATAGACATTGTAGATCATAGGTGTAGGAAGATTTTTTGAAGTGGGGGGGCCGGGGGGGGGGGGGGGCGTTAAAGCACTTGCCCTAAAAATCTTAATGTGCGCAAAGCGCACATCACAAGCGCGAAGTTGGAAGCTCTGGGATTCTCGATTCTCTCTGATGCAATATCAACCTTATTTTAGTGCATTTTATGGCATTTTTTCAGAGCAATTTACGAGTAATTCATTGTGATTTAAAAAAATACCAAATGGAAATTGTAGCCATAATATGGGGAGTATAGCCATGAGGGATTATGTTTTGTTCTTCAAGATTTAACAATCACCTCTCACCATGGACGAGAGCCTGGCAGAGCGACTTTAAAAGTGGGGGGGGGGGGGGGAAGGGCACCAACAAAAAAGGGCATTTTCTGGAAAAAAGGGGGGGGGGGCACGCACAAAGGGAAACCTCAAAGCAAAAATATACAATTTATAGACATTTTTAGGCCATATGATACCTCTACATTGTGATTAGATTATCAGGGATGATTTCATTGTTTGTTTTTCTCTGCACAAGATACTGCTTAACCCTTACTGTCTCGACATTTTCGGAGATTGCGCCACAACCGCTTGGAATTTTGAATTGTCGTTTCATGACTTTTTTCCCTCAAGTCTTAGGCACATTTTGATACCATTTTCGTTGAAATTGGATATACCTGTAAGGTGTTACATAACAATTAGTATGCGCATGTCATTAAAAATGCTATAATTGCCTATATATTCATGTACAAGCAGAAATGTGAATACAGGTTTAGATTAGGACGATGTATTTCTTCCTAAGTGGGAGATATGAATTGATATCAAATTGCTTTTATATGTTTCTCAAAGTAACTTGATGTATTCACGAACAAAAGAATACATTAGAAATAAAACAACAATAAAATACATAAGAAAATAAAATGATGAATTTCGAAAAAATTTTCTTCAGAAAAACATTTTGAGACGAAGGAAACATTTATTCAATACATTTTCAAGATTATTCACAAGTCTACAGACAAATATGTTTTCTGTAAAATGCATAAAATTAGCATTTTGCATAAGTAATTAGGCTATGACGACAAAAATTTGCTTAGTAGGAAAAAACTAATTATACCATCTTGTTCCTGACGTAAATATCTACAAACATGCACATTTTTGTGTCCTTCGGACATTCAATGGCGGAGATCATAGTGGGGGGGGGGGGGGGGGAGGGGGGGGGGGGAGGGGGGGGGGGGCCTCCTTGTTCCCCCCCAGTCAGTGAGGTGCTCAAAATAGCTCAGTACAGTAAGGGTTAAGCATCATACTTTGCAGTTGAGTCTGATGGTCTGAATATTTAATTTAAGATTTCAATTTTTTAATTTGTGAAGTCGCAAAGCAAAAAATTACATCTTATAAAGAGGGAGGAAAAATGCTAATCATGAAAGACTTAAAAGATCTTTATATAAGAAACAAAATCATAATAACTTAAAATGCAAGCGTAGTGAGCGAGCTTTGGGTGAAATGAAAGAAAAAGATGCTCTTAGTCGCTTTAAATTAAGAGTACATTTTAGGGTGAGAAGAAAAGGGGGCCCATATCCAAAGGGAAAAGGACACTTACTTAAAGAATTTACAAAATAAGCCATAACAATTATTGGGGAAGGATATTCGTGTGCATGTTGATAACGTCGGTCGATAACAGCACAGGAATCAACAACCCTCCCCTCACTATACCAACCTCAATTAGCTCATTGATTTATGAATTGATGTGAATATAGAGGGTGAATGTTGATGATGATGATGATGATGATGATGGTGACGACAAAAATGTTGAAGTTAATCATGATGAGGAAAGTTATGATAATAATCTTGATCAAATTAATATTATGATGATGCTGGTAACAAAGATAAAATGGGATGATTAATGACGATAATGAAGACATTTGATTGAGATTATGAAATGAGGACATTTTATTTGTAATAGGAAGACTAGTTTGTAGGGATTTATTTTGAACTCTTAAACTCCCCTTCATATCCATGATTCATCCCTTTCATTATCCCTCATTCACATTCACCCTTTTCATCCACTTACCTTTCATATATCTATCTCTCTCTCTCTCTCTCTGATTGGTTCAATGTTCACCTGATGCGGTTAAGCTTAAAGTATAATTTACATATACTATGAATATTTAATATATACCCTTTGTTTATTGTTTATGTTTGAATATTCAAGATACTTTGTGATGTTGATTTATACTTGTATGTGACTTTATGAATATTAATTTGTTTCTTCTACTTTGCATGGAATGTATGTGGAATGCTACACAGAATGCAGTAATGTTTTTATACATTAAAACCTGGTCAGTTAGCCATTAGTTATCAATCTTACAACATGTCTGCTGGGGCTGCCTCTGTGTTAAAGGACAAGTCCACTCGAAAAATAACTTACTTTCAATAAAAGCAGAAAAATCAGACAAACCAATCAAAAAAAGTTTGAGCAAAATCGGATAACTAATAAGAAAGTTATGAATTTTTGAAAAAGTATGCAAAACTATGGAACAATGAGAATCACAACACAAATTGCCAAGATGGTTATCAGTTTGTGACGTCATGTCCTCACAACTTATCAATTGCTTTATATAGTTTAATCCCATTAATTTCCCTTTTTATCCCCCAAAACTTGATTTCCCCATGCCTTTGCCCAGGTAATATGATTTGTATCATATTGCGTGCATGACATTTCCCCAAAACTTTTATGAATTTTGAAGAATTGATACTATTTTCTGAATATTGTATTTCATAATTATTGATTTTTATATAAATAGTTTATCAAAATTCAATTTTTCATGATTTAACTGAACAAAAATTACTCTTTATTTGTGCATCCACACAAAAACATATTACTGACAATCTAACTTGGATACTGGTGTGAAGAAATAAGATTCTTAGGGTGAAAATAGGAAATTTATATCATCAATATAAAGAAAATAATTAGTGGATAATGAGGACCATACGTCACAGACTCATGAGTGAGTTGCCAATTTGTGTAGTGATTTTAAAAGTTTTTCATGTCATTAAAAATTCATAACTTTCTTAGTAGTCATCCGATTTTGCTCAAACTTTTTTTGATTGGTTTGTCTGATTTTTCTGCTTTTATTGAAACTGCAACCCTACAGTATATTAAGCAGGTGAAGGGCTAAGAAACCCTCATTTAGCCCCCTGAGCCCCTCCCATTCTTTGCTTCTTGATTATGTCAAATAATCAATGATAGCTCGATGAAGGAGGGGGGGGGGGGGGAGAGAGACATTTCCTCATTCAAAGGCCATCTCCGGCCTTCCTACATACATAGGTCACAGGCCCGTAACAAATAGAATTTTACTAGGGGTGCAGACATTACATGAGGCGGACTAGAAAAGTTTAAAGATTTGTGAGATCGCATTAAAGGCATCGTTTAACAACGTTCAATCTGAGATGCATGGCCCTAGAGCATGGCCCGAGCATTCACATCAAACAATGAAGAAAAAAATTTAGAAAGTTGAATATGTTGTGACTAAAAGGAATGCCTGTATGTAGTAATCTAAATGTAAACATTATATTGAGGAACCGAACAACATTACAAGCATATATCAATTAAAGAAATCTAGAACTTGCTCATTTAAGAATGTGTGCTACAATGATTATCTCATAAAAACAGTACAGGCCTAATAAGATTAATAAATGACCACTCAGTTTTTCTCTTCTCCTTGCAGTCTATTATGGAGTATCCACAAGACAACGGGCCGCCTGCCGCCATAGGTCAATGTGAACGTGGGGCCGTGGGCGCTGGTAGCGCACCGGTGCCTGTGTAGGACAAGGGCCGGGGAGAGGTGTAAGTGGAAGACGAGACACCTCTCCCGCGTGTACTACCAGCATCGAGATGTTTACACGGCGGAAGAGTGAGTACTCAAACAATAGGGTCGGACAAAACTATATAACCCAACAGGGGGTTTCTCAACAGCGATACAAGATTTTAAAAGTAGTCAACAGATCTTGATGGAAATTGTATGGAATTGTTGGTTGAATATATCCCCTAATCTTCATGTACATTTCAGAACTACAAGTTAAGATTGTTTTTTAAGGCTTTATTACAAACAACATCCAAGGAGAATAAGCATATCTGTACCCTAAACATGTTGTGGCAAGTTGTCACAAGAATTCTCCTGCTTTACTAGAAGAAAAGGGGTCATATCAAATAAATTTAGGGCATGGGAACGGTCCATTCTATTTTAAGCGATAGATTTTCAGAATTATTTGTTTTCTTCAGAAAATCGTAGAATTCATATTTAGTGTTTGTTGATTAAATCTTAATAATATATATTTGAACAGTTGAAAATGTAAAACATTATTTACTAAAAAAATAAAAAAATACTTGGTTTTGTTTCCTACATCACAGCTTGCGTTATAAGGATGAAAACTTCCTAAGTTGATGAAGTAATTACAGTTTCATGAAAATCTTTTTGAATATTTACTTTAAAAAAATTAGTTATTCATATGTTTTTGTTTTATCATACTGAAGGTGGCTTAGTCACTGTTATCCTTTAGGGTCCTGTGCATATAAATATGAAATTCAACACAATACATGAATGAGAAAATGAAACAACAACAAAATGTAACATTTCCATAAAAAAAACATTACAAAAGTATAATATAAGAGCAAGTAATACGGACCAACAACGTTTGCAAAGTTTGTCATATAAATGTATCAATAAAAGTATGGGAAGAAGAAATTTAAGTTGACTTAATAATTTTGTACTTTTGAATGAGAGCGGTGTCAAATGATGTCATATGATCAACAGCACAAGGTGGAAGTTTATTATATAGCTCCCTCTCAAGGTCATGATATTAATTAAGCTATAAAACAATGTTTCTTGACTAAAATCGATTGATTAGCTATTTCCGTTTGGAAATTATATATCACAACTACATATTCTGAGATTTTTATGGTCAAGATATTAATTAAGCTATAAAACAATGTTTCTTGACTAAATCAATTGATTAGCTGTTTCCGTTTGGAAATTTTATCACAACTACATATTCTGAGATTTTCATGGTCTTGGCTATTGTACGGCTGTAGGCGCTATTTGAAATTTATCAAAATCTACCGGGAGCACCGGTAAATTTTTATATTTAATTTTTCTTGAAAGCGGAAATGTTTTAGGGGCTAAATTTTATAGTGCTTATAATACATCCACAGAGGCATCCAAATATATCAAAATTGTAAAGAATCACTATCCACCCATGTTTCTTATCAAGAGAGTTTTTCAGCTTATACATGTATTTTGAAATATTTTGAAATCTGAATGATCAGTTTAATAATTTCACAGACATATTGGCTGCAAATACACTTTCACCTCATTTGGTCTCTTTTATGTACATCATTTAGATTTTAGGAACAGAGTGTCAATTATTTCTTGATGCATAAGTCAAGAGATCACAGGAATATGAATTACCAATGCAGTGATTACAAAATGAACATATACCAAACAACCATTTAGCAAACTAATTAGAAATTGTTCAAAGAATTATTAAAGAGCAATTCCATATATTACATTTACTAGAAAGATATGATATGATTTTTGTATAGGCACACTTTGATAATAATATATATTCCATAACTTATTTTTGTATTTCGATATTTCATGTTATCATTGTGAACAGATTACTGAAATATAACTGAAATATTTTAATTATTCATTTGTCTTGATCATTCGATTAAGTATATTAAGTGTATTAACTATATCTTACATGTATTTTCATCATACTAGGATTATACAGATGATAAATCGCCGACGCCCACGCTGCCAGGCTATGACCCTTAAAAGGCTACGGTGCTCAAGAGATTCAACAAGGCAGTTTGTTCTGCATTATTGCACACAGCATTGTAAGTATATTGCATAAAATGGAAGTAGAATCATTGCCAATAAGAAAGTTTGTATTTTGCACAACTTCAGTATATTCTGATGATCTAATTATTGACAACATACAATGGTATGCACTTCTTGACATTTCAAGTTTCAAGTTTTATTGGTCCACATTTTACAGAAAATATAGACATACATATGAAATACAAAATTATACAATACAACTATAGTATAAATAACCACATCTCAATGATTCTCAATTCATAGAATGTGAGGAACCTATTGAAGCATAGCTGAGGAATGGAAAGAGTCCCTCAGGAATAGCAGGAGGGCTAGGAGAGAAAGTACATCGTTATCGAAGGTAAGTGCTTATTTAAGAAGAGTAAGGACAAACATAATGACAAATCATGAAAAGTGGTAGTAAATGACATATCTATATCAGTGCATCAAAAATTGATTAGTTTTAGATTGATTGAGAGCTCGTCATGTGACCAGAAATATTTTAACCATTTTAAGGTTGCTCTGAAAAGGTACTAATTGGAAAATACTATTAGGGAGTTGAAATTTTTTGTTGTTGGTAATTTTTTAATTTTTAATTTAAACATTTCATCAAAATGTTTACATTGCTAAACTTGTATAAATTTGTTTAAATAAAAAAAGAAGTTAAAATGTTAGAAATTATAATTTTAACAATTTTTCTTTTCTTCTTAAATACATTTTGTTGCTGTTTATACAGGATTTAAAAAACAAAAATAATATACCCTAGCTGTCTTCTTTTCAAGGTAATGGTTAAAACTATGGGCCTCAGTGACTATTTTCTTTGGCCATAGTTTTAACCAGAACTTATCAGAACAGTGTATATTTGTATTATATCTATAATAGTGTCTATCTATCCAGGGACGTGATAGAGAAGGACCTGAATCAAGCCGTTCTCCTTTGACCCCATGCTCCAAGCCGCCGGAAAGTTATGCGCTAATCTGCAGCTGTTGACCAGGTGGTGAGATAAAAGAGCGCATGAAATTTTAGGATTTAGAATTCCTACATCAGAAAATGGTATCACAGCAACTGTTCGCTGTCCCTTCTAATGATTTCTCATCCATTGTTGAATGTGTAAAGAGTAGAACAAGCGAACACAAACTTGTGTAATTTCATTCTTTTTTAAACTTGAAAAATACAAAAAACACGCGAAAACACGCATTAGCAAACTTAATGTTATTGAAGATTGTAAATCATGGATCAAATAACGGGACACTAAAGCATGCACAAATTAGCGCATCATCCTAAAATATTGAGTTTTTGACAGGATGTAATTTTTCTTTTACCAACTCTGGCACACAATTTAAAGGCAGGACAGAGTTCTAAATTTGAAAAATTGTTTGATGCACTATTCCCAATAAAATTCCCATATAAAGTTTTTAATTTACACTGTAATTTTGCCGGTAATTTAATATTTTGTAATAAATGTAAAACTGGTGCCGGGCTTCCGAAATTCCCCGCAGTGGAAGCGCGGTTCGGAGCATGGAACTTCAAAGCCAAGTGGAATGTTACACATCCCATTGTTACGCTTTAGAACTCAAGAATGCGTTTGAATAAATTACAAGAGTTTCGCCTCCTGTTCTTTCACCTCCCTGATCTATCTATCTAGCATTGCACAGTAATTCATCAAATATACATAAATCATATCTTGAGCATTGAGTAGTAACAGTAATTAAGTAAATTTACACATTTTATATTCTAATAAGTTAAAAGAATGAAAGGACATTGTTGAAGCATATCAAAATCCTTACTCTATGGTTAAATTATCATAATAAAGTTATAGCCATGTTCAGACAGGGGCTTCCTAGTCTGCGTAAGTTAATCCCTGCAGCAGTAAATATCCCATAAATATTTGACTTACACCATTAGTTGACCATATCCTCTTAGTCGGACCAGCTTGCCTCGATTAAGGTAATACGACCTTCCACTGACCCAGTCTTACTCAGCGTATCTTCTAGAAGTCAGGGGCGGATCCAGGAAGTTCCAAAGGGGGGGGGGGGGGGGGGGGGGGCTTCCATGCAAATTTTTCTCCGTCAGGGGAAGAAAAAAAATCTTTGTCAAATGGCAAGAGTGTCCTTCTAGAGCCAAAATTGCCCAATGTGGTAATATACAGTGCCCTGTCATGGTCAAAAAATTATTCTTCAATTCCAGCAAAGTGCCCCTCTGAAGCCAATATTGTGTTTTTTCAAGTTGCCTCGTTAGGGGTGAAATATGCATAATCAAGGCGGCAAAAGGGCCCTTTTAGAGCCAAAATTGCTCTTTTTGATTACTAAAAGGGAGGGTTGAGTTCTGGGAAGGGTAAGAAAGTTCTAATAATCTAATTGAGAAATTTGATTAAAGTATTATAACATAAAAAAACTTAGGATGAATTGTTTTGAAGGGGTCTATCAAATAGTGTAATTTTTAGCCACATAATACGCTTTCAAGGTGGTCCCTTATCATTACACATTATACTATTATCTTTTTTATTTTTTATTGTGATAAAACACAGCAGTAAATCACAATTTTTCCAAAAATTTATATTGATTAATCTTGTGTAATTACAAATAGGTTGGAAGATAAAATGGACAATTTCCTGACCCTTTCCAGAACTCAATACCTCCCCCCTAAAGGAAAGTAAATAAATGATTTTGATGAACAAGGCTCAAGCAAAGACCAAGGTCTTTGAACCCACATCGGTATGTGCAGACGCAGAATAACTTTGCGTCATGAAATAATTTATTTTAATTTTCTTTTTTTAATACGAATAAACACGCTAACTGGTTTATTCAGGTATCCTTTGGAACTTCTTATCCAATCAATGCTAATTCTTTAAAAAATGTGATTTTTTTGTTTTGTTTGCATTTTAATTTGTTCAGCGGGAATTCCAGGTATCTCTCTCTCTCTGTTAGGGGGCATTTATCCCCCAAACCCCCCCCCCCCCCCCCTGTACGTGCATGCTTGCTAGCTTGGCTGGTGGATGTACCAAAATAAATACCTACAAAGTCACACAATCATTGTAGGCTGTCATTCATCTCCCTATTACCCATCTCTCTCTCTCCCTCTCTCTGTTTGTCTATCTCTCTATCTTTATCTCTCTCTCTCATTCTCTCTACCTTGCTTCATCTTTCTCCTACTGCCTCCACATCTCTTTCATCAATGGGTACCCACCAATTTTCTTTGAAGATGTCTATTCATCTACCTGGACATCTACCTTGCAGATAACCTCCTCCTCCTTACTGAGCAGTTCATCTCACAACATTCAAGAGAAGCCCGCCAGCCAAACAGACTCATCATCCCCATTCAGCTCATCTCACAAGCAAACGACATTCAAGAGAAGCCCGCCAGCCAAACGGACCCATCATCCCCGTTCAGCTCATCTCACAAGCAAACGACATTCAAGAGAAGCCCGCCAGCCAAACAGACCCATCATCCCCATTCAGCTCATGTCACAAGCAAACAACATTCAAGAGAAGTCCGCCAGCCAAACAGACTCATCATCCCCATTCTGCTCATGTCACAAGCAAACAACATTCAAGAGTAGCCCGGCAGCCAAACAGACTCATCATCCCGTTCAGTTCATCTCACAAGCAAACAACATTCAAAAGAAGCCCGCCAGCCAAACAGACTCATCATCCCTGTTCAGTTCATCTCACAAGCAAACAACATTCAAGAGAAGCCCGCCAGCCAAACAGACTCATCATCCCTGTTCAGTTCATCTCACAAGCAAACAACATTCAAGAGTAGCCTGCCAGCCAAACAGACTCATCATCCCTGTTCAGTTCATCTCACAAGCAAACAACATTCAAGAGAAGCCCGCCAGCCAAACAGACTCATCATCCCTGTTCAGTTCATCTCACAAGCAAACAACATTCAAGAGAAGTCCGCCAGCCAAACAGACTCCTCATCCCCGTTCATCTCATCTCACAAGCGAACGACATTCAAGAGTAGCCTGCCAGCCAAACAGACTCCTCATCCCCGTTCAGTTCACCTCACAAGCAAACAACATTCAAGAGAAGCCCGCCAGCCAAACAGACTCATCATCCCTGTTCAGCTCATCTCACAAGCAAACAACATTAAAGAGAAGCCCGCCAGCCAGCCAAACTCATCATCCCCGTTCAGTTCATCTCACAAGCAAACGACATTCAAGAGAAGCCTGCCAGCCAAACAAACTCATCATCCCCGTTCAGTTCATCTCACAAGCAAACGACATTCAAGAGAAGCCCGCCAGCCAAACAGACTCATCATCCCCGTTCAGCTCATGTCACAAGCAAACAACATTCAAGAGAAGCCCGCCAGCCAAACAGACTCATCATCCCCGTTCAGCTCATCTCACAAGCAAACAACATTCAAGACAAGCCCGCCAGCCAAACAGACTCATCCCCGTTCAGCTCATGTCACAAGCAAACAACATTCAAGAGAAGCCCGCCAGCCAAACAGACTCATCATCCCCGTTCAGCTCATCTCACAAGCAAACGACATTCAAGAGAAGCCCGCCAGCCAAACAGACTCATCATCCCCGTTCAGCTCATGTCACAAGGAAACGACATTCAAGAGAAGTCCGCCAGCCAAACAGACTCATTATCCTGTCAGTTCATCTCACAAGCAAACGACATTCAAGAGAAGCCTGCCAGCCAAACAAACTCATCATCCCCGTTCAGTTCATGTCACAAGGAAACGACATTCAAGAGAAGCCCGCCAGCCAAACAGACTCATTATCCCCGTTCAGCTCATCTCACAAGCAAACATCTGACAATGTAAGGACTGCAAGCTAGCTTCACTAAGTCGTTCAAGAAAAGCACATTTACCAAGGACATGACAGAGAGAAAAGCAGAGGAGAAGAAGGTAAGAACATCACACCAAATTTGAAATAAGGAAACAATTTAAGCAACAAAACAAAACACAAAACAAAACGAAGCAATGAAGACACTTATTTTGTAATCAGTCTTCACTGCAATTTATTTTCTCATATGGACATGTAGCACTTTGTGATTACAATTAAGATTGCTGTCTTAATAATAATAATAATAGGCATTTCTATAGCGCCATCTATCTAGACAATTCTATTCCGAGGCACAGAACTGTTACATTATTATTTTCACTTAGATATAAAGCTAATCTATCAGTTTTTCAAATATAAAAAGTGTCGTGGCATGGCCGACATTTAAATCTGGACCATCATCGTCAGCATATGACCTCATTAGAGAGAATTTTGTTAGGCTGACAGACTTTTGATGTAATGTTACTTTGAACTCAAATAAGTATAATTCTAAGTACATTATTTCTTGTCTGCATCAGGAAATCTGATTTCCACTGGTTGGTATGTACAAGTAATGCAATATAAACATACACGTAAAGAGACAAAATACATACATAACATACCAAAATAACTGAAAAATACTGATGTTACAAGTACATGTAAATGCCTTTCATGATCGATACTGGCATATATGAAGTTAAACAGTTAATCCACATGTTCCAACAATAACTTTGCTATGTCTATGAGCCTGGGAAATGATAACAAAGACTATATAGATTATAATTTTTAAATCATGCTGATGTTTATGAGCGGGAAGGTTCATGGCACCAGAGCATCAATCAGTCTAAGGCTTGCACAGTCTATATGGTGATTATTTTTCTCAATTTGTTTAGAATGATGTTGTAATTCCAACTCTTTAATGGCTTCTTGTATATGGCTCATGTCTGCTATGGAGTGGTCCTCCAATATCATTTTGGTTTTAATTAGGTTACAATTATAACCTAATTGCATAGTTTAGGGCTGGAACAGCCTTGTTTGAAGATAAACCATTGTAGTCTCTAGTATCTATGCTATTAGCCTTTTATCTGCTATGTCAGTGATGCCTGTAGTCAGTCTGTAATGACTCATTTCTGCTATGTAGTGGTGCTTATATCCACAACATAGGCTGACCCATTGTCAGCTATACTTTCATCAGCCTTGTAGTTGTGCATGTATCTGCTAGGTAACGGTACATATATCCGCCACATAGTGGTACCCTTTTTGCTACGGAGTGGTACATATATCCGCCACGTAGTGGGGCCCATTTATCCTGTGCACTGGTGCTGACATCTGCCATGCAGTTTAGACTATTTTCCCAATAAAGTGGTGCCGACATCAGCCATATTGTGAAACCATTTATTTCTGCCAAACTGTGGTGCCTAAATTATATGCCAAGTAGTAATTAGGTCCATATCTTGGCCCTTTTTAGATTCTGTTATGCATATATATCATATAGACTGTACAGCTCAGACATTGATGCTATTTATCTTTCATTGTAAGACTTATGTACCACAATTCACGAAGTTTGAACACTGATAACGGGCAGTCCATTTTCTCAACAATAAACTTAAGTAAATGGCCTACCATATAGCACCCCTCACCCAAACTTGTTTTCTCTTAAATAGCAAGCCTGGTTACTCTAGTCTTTGGCTATCATCTCCTTAGGCTCATAGTACAGGCTCATACACTGCCTTAGAACATAGGGTTAATGTAACAGGCTCACTTTGAATCATCGGGTCATTGTGGCAGCGTTACCAGACCTTTTGTGAATACATGCCCCTTTATTCACGAAATGTCGGGAGTAATATGATTACAAAATAAACTCCTCTCATCTTCAAATAGTCTGGTCCAATTTGCCAGACACTTTGTGAAAACCGTAAGGCAAATCTACGAAAGGTTGGATGATCTTCCGTTTCAGTTTCGTGTAAAGGTCGTGTAAAGCGACCACCCAACCGGACTTGATGATTTGAAGTAAGCTGATGTAACATGTATGTTGAATACCTCAGTCACACTGATGATAGACCAATAACAGACGAATTTGCCAAGAATTGTTCCGTTTTGAGTCAGTTTTGTGAAATGACAGAGGTATAGCATTTAATAACAGCTTTTGTGTAGCAATTTCATTTGCCTGAGGATCATACAGTTTTACTTGAGGTAGAGACAGTGGTGTAGCATTGGCCGACCCGTTTAGGGGGCACTGTTATTATGGAGGAGGGCGGAACCTGTACTAATAGGTGAATTGAATGTGAATTTGTAAGATCTCAGAATTAGGGGATGATATTAATTAAGGGATTAATATAATTTTTGTTTTAACCTCCCTATTCCATCTCCCTTTATTTATGTCTTTTTTCCTCTTCCATTTTGTCTTGTTTTCCACCATTTGATTGGGAGACGTACATTGTGTCCCTTTGTAGCTACACCACTGCTCAGGGAATGTAGCATACACGTATATAGAGTGGAGCTCTAGTACTAGACCATCATATGAGAACATTTACCTCAGGTAATTTAATGCTTTTAAACTGAAATATAGATTTCAGTTGATAACCAAGTGATAACGGAAGACAGAAACTGAAAATGAATGAGCAACTCCAGTTTCTCATTGCTTTTTATGGTAGACCAGACCCTAGCTACAACAAACTTAAAATTTCCTAATCAGTGCTGGGAAAAAAAATGTAGAGCACTTAGTGAAATTTAATTATACCATGACTGAAGTCTCGACCAGTTAATCAATCAACAATTTTGGATAATCAAGATCAGTCAAGTACCAATATATGTACAAGTTTGATACAAGTCACATTGCATGCTTTAAATTGAATACATTTTAATAAGTTGTCAGCGAATTTGTAGTTAAAGATGAAGTTGAGTTCTGTTCATGCGATTGCATTGTGAAAGAAACGGTGTGGAATCGACCAGATCATCTAGCATATAGGAATTTGTGTGTATTGCAAGGTTCTGGAATCATCAAAATGATAGGAAATTTGTCAAGTCTTGGTAAAGTTATAAACAATGTACACAGAAAGATGTATATGGGACTACACGACCACGTGGCGTAAAAATCCGGGTAGGATTTTTTACGATGTTACATGACATATTTAGAATATGAAGGCATTTGAAGAGCCATGCCCTTCAGGGAACATGTCTTATCTGATGTTCTTCCACACTTGCATAATAATAATGATAACGCTCACAAATTGTTTTTCACCTCTTCCCAGAACTCAACCTTCTCTTTAAGACGGCTTTGTGAAACGCTATATACATGTATACAGTATGAATTTCGACTTAAATGTATAAAGCAGTTCACAAATGCAGACCCCTGCCCTAACCACAGGCCTGATAGTCACAACTAATTGCATTCACCTGTCTTCAGGAATTTAATTACAAAAGTCTGAATCTGTTTACATGTTGCTGCTTTGTGAGCCACGTTACTGACAAGTTTGGAGTCTGTCACTCAGAATGTTACAGAATTACAACTTACAAGAATCGTTTTGTTTTGAGTCAGTTTGTTGAAATGAATAAATAAAACTTCAACTTCAACTTCAATAACATCTTTTGTACCATTTTCATTTGCCTAAGGATCATAAAGTTTGAGGTAGAGGCAGTGGTGTAGCAATGGCCCACCAATTTATGGGGGAGGGTGGCACCTGTATTAATAAGATTTAAGGGACGATATTAATATAAACCTCCTTTTCCCCTCTCCCTTTCTTTATGTCTTTTTTCCTCT